CAGTCCCGAGGCAATGACATTAGCTGGTACTTGTCACTCAACTGCTATCTTATAAAGGACATTCTTCTTAGCATTTGAGTTGAAAAGCTAAGAAGGAAGTCTTTATCTAGGCTCCGGAGGGAGAATTTAGAAAAAAAGCAGACCAAGATCCCAAAGGAAAATCAGCTTAAAAAAAAAAATACCCTGAGCCCATTTGTTAACTAACTAGTCCAATGAATCACAGGGTCCCGTAATTGCATGTAAAGGTCAACTTGAAAGGAATTATCAAGGAGTTCTAGTGTGACACTGTAAGATAAGCACTCAACTGCTTACCAAACCGTCTGCAGTTCACATCCATCAAGGGCCACCGTGAATCAGAACCAACTTGATGGCACTCAACAACAGATACTGTTGACTCGAGCAGAATGAGTACTTCTGAGGTCTGATCTGCTAGAAAGGATGACATCATGTTTCCTGAGATCCAGTTACAGGTGAACAGAGCAGCACGCCAAAACAGCCGGCTCATCAGAGCTTCTCTTCATGCGGCTGGACAAAGCCAGACTGGTCTGGCTTTTACATTTGGCTTTGTAGTTTATTAGCTGCATGACCCAGGGCAAATGATTTAACCCTTCTGAATGTCTGTTTTTCCTTGTCTATAAAACATGGAAGAATTATTTTTTTAAGTTGCTGAGAAGAGTAACTAACCAATGAAAGTGTTTGACACATAGCAGGTCCTTCCTGCAGCAGTCCCTTCTACAGTAAACCTCCATCCGGTAGAAAACAGAAGCAGAGGCTAAACCAGAAAAGGGGCTATTTCAAAAAGCACATAAACTGATGACTTTCCTTATTGTTTTGTTGACCAAGTGGTTTCATTACTGAAGAATGTATGTTGGCCACTTTCACTCCTTTAACAGTATACCTGTGAAAGGGTCCAGAACTGTTGCAACAGGCAACCAAACCAGCAATTGCTCCATGGAGAGAAAGGAATTGGGCAAAATTTGTCCTGAGCAAAGATAGCCATGGTCTCTGATCTGAACAAGGCAAGCCTGATCAATTCTACAAGGGGCATACCAGCTGCTTCACATGAGCCCGGGTTAGAAAGAATGAGGGGGTGGGGATAGGGATGGGGGGTGTTGTCGTCATATTCTGTCACTTCAGCTATCTTCTCACACAAAGATAAAACCACTGTCAGCAGCAACATCTTTAAAGGACAAAACAACGTCCTGTTGCTTTTGGCTTCATTTTTCTTCAGCTGGTCAAAAAAAGCTGTTCTCATAGCCAGTCATCATTTCATAGCGCCAACTTTCCAAGCACATTTAAAAGGCTGCTGTTTAAGCATATATTTAACATGCTGTTTAAGTATATATTTTTATAATTTACAAAATCAGAGTCCCGAGAATCTGATTTGTTAGCAGAAGCATCAAGGGTCCTATGATCAAGATGACCTGACTGCCAAATCCACATGTCCCTCTGCTCCCGGCTAAAGACCTGAAAGACAGAAATCTGAAGGCTACTCCTCATCCCAGGTTTTCACTAGCTCGAGAACCTGAAGCAAGGGTCTTAATTTCTCAGGGTCTCCATTTCTTCAAGTCGACCAATTGCTCTCTGAAGTCCCTTCCAAATGTAGGAATCTATGAAAAACAATGCAATGGCTAAATTTCAGGTCATGTGTGAAGGCTCCCAATTCTACATTTAAAAACGAACAATAAAGTGCAGGTATATGCATATATCAAGCCTTGCAAAGTTTTGAGAGGAACAAACTCTTGGAGGCAAAGCACTGTTGAAAGACTAAACTCTGTCATGCACACCGTTTCCACTAAATGGAAACATTGATGGTACCTAAAACAGTTGGATATTATAGTAAGAAAGGACAGAAAGACACAGTAATGTGCCTAGCAGAGAGGATCTAGAAGATGGAAGGGGGGAACAACTGTCAGGACCCCAGCCCTAGACAACCGGCTTCCCTGAAAACACCAAAGCTCTGTTTGAGGGAAATCTTCTGGGAAGCTCTCAATTCCGGTTTACTTTGAAAGAGAAAAAAACAAAACAAAACAAAACAAAACCCAGCTCATTCCTTGTAACTTAAACCCCAGGGAAGAACAGGAATGGGCATGAGGCAAAGAGGCTCAAACAAATATCCCCACGTATTCCAGATCATGTCTGCTGGGGAGAGGTTAATGAAGCACATAAAATCCCAGGGCTGACAGGAAGTAGAATTAGAACCACAAAAGCCAAGAAGACAGTCAACAGCTTAAGAAACTCCAGATGCACTTGGTTTATTAAAACTGAACATGAGTAAGAAGGGAGGAGTGGGGAGAGACCCATGAAATACTGTGGGGGCATTTTACTAAGTCAGAGAAAGTCACTATTTATTCCATATAAGAAGATTCAATTGTCAGTAAGTCCACAAAATTTCTCAGCTCCCAAAAGGCAACCGGGTAAGATAAAGAAACAGAAAAGGAGACATCCAAAAAAGCTTTTGTGATAATCAATTTCTAGAACTAAGTGCTTTATATAAAAGACTACTAAAAATTTACCCTCAGATAAGAGCAAAGTCAAAGTGAATCCCCATCCTCAAACAGTTTGCAAGAATTCTAAGAGCTATCGGGACTTACTAATACCAAACCCATAGAGAAGCCTACTCTCAGGCCACCAACACCCAATTCAAAAAAGTACCAGTAGTTCATTCAACAAACATTTCCTTACTGTCCCTTTAAAAGTTAAGATGTTACTCTGCCCTGGCAGGACAGAAACATCCAAGACATTGTTGCTGTCCTCAAGGAGCTTCCAGTCCAGATAGGCACATAAATGGGTACCAGACAATACGACAGATGCTACTGCAGAGTCAGGAGCAGAGAGCTGGGACTGGAGTGGGGCAGGAAGAGTTAGGAAAAATTGCACCAGAGAAATGATCCTGGACTTTTGTCTGAAAAGATGTCAGTAACCTGTAAGATAAAGCAACTAAAGAAAGAAAGCCATTTCAGAAAGAGAACAGAGCAGGTGTAAAGGCAAAGGGTTACGAAGGGCCAGGGAGGCCCATGGAAGTGATCCATCAGAAAATTCTTAAAAATTCAGAAGATATGCTCAGAGAGTAGTGGAGAAGTATGCACGTAACCAAAACCACAATGTGACCAGGAAAACACCTTATAAAATAAGTATGGAGCAGTGTGAGGGAAGACATGCAGCTGGGCACATTGTGAAGCAAGACTTGTTGGAGGACGCAATGTCTGAGAGGAGTCTTGGAAGAAAACTGCAGCTGCAAGTAGAGGAGAAAGCCTTTCTAGATGGACACCAGCAGAACTCAGATGCAACAAAGCATGGTGTGCTCAGTTGTATGATATAGTTGAACCATAAGGCATAAGAGGGGAAATGGAGTGGTAGAAAAGTCAGCTGGGGCCACATCCTTAGAGACCTTGGAAGTTCTATCAAGGGCCCTATTATAGTTTTTATGTGTAGGGAAATACTAGAAGGTTTTCTGGCATGAACAGATTTGCCGTTTTTAAAGAGTTAGAGCCCTGAAATGTGTACCATTTTCTATCCAGACTCTTCAAAATCACTCTTTATTTATTGCCCCTCAAGACTGTTATGATCATCTCTCAAAGAGAAAATTATAATGTCTAATTATAAAGCAATAATAACTCCTGCCCTACACAAACCATCTCATTCACCTTCCTGCCCAGCGCTCTTAGGAGGTAGCTGTCATCATTACTACCATTTATCATTGAGTTAAGACAATTAGAGTAACTTGCTGAAAACTGCAAAGCCACTAAGGGAGGCGAGTGGGTTTCAAACTTAAGTCTGTCAAACTCTAACACCCAAGTTCTTTATTTCATTGCTACCCTGCTCTAGGCAAGCCATGGTGGTGCCGTGGGTTAGGCACTGGGTTGCTAACCACAAGGTCAATGGTTCAAACCTACCAGCCAGAGTTGACTTGATGGCAGTAGGTCTCGGTTTGGAAGGCAAGCCATAACACATACCCTTACTACTTGATTACGCCATCCCATGGAGTCTTGGTGTGGCGCTGTGCGTTAATGCGTCAGACTGCAAAACTGCTTGAACTGCAAGGTTGGTGGTTCAAGCTCACCAGCTCTTCCTTGGAAACCCTATACAGGGTCGCTTTGTGTCAGAACCGACTCGACGGCAGTTAACAATAACAACACCAATGCTTTAATAGGACTTTTGGTGTGGTGCTGTATGATCAGTACCAGACTGCGAACCACAAGATCAGCATTTCAAACCCATCTGTTACTCCTTGGAAACCCTATACAGGGTCACTATGAGTCAGAACTGACTCAACAGCACTTAACATCAACAACAAACGCTTTACTTATCCTCCCCAGTAATGACCCTAGTTTGCTTTCTTAGCAAGGCCTAAGACCACTGAAAGTCAGAGCACAGGTCCACAAAGAAAGCACAGGCAAGCAGTCATCTTCACTGCCTCAGTCACAGTCAGGGGCTCAGTCGGCAATATGCTCTGAGCCTGTCCTCCTGAAGTCTTCATTACTCCTCTCTCTGCAATCAGGGAACTGAATATGGGCTAGGACACAAGAGGGTGAGGAAGGGAGAGAGGAGGAGGAAGAAGAGGAGAGAGAAGAAGAGGAGGGTGAGGGGAACCCACCAGAAAGAAGGCTGAAACAAAAAGGAGGAGTCATCGGAAAATGGGAGAAAGCACATACTGGTACCAGCCAGACCTTGGACCGGTTCCCAGTCTGGCTGCCAGAAAGCTCTGGAATATATTTGTGAGAGCTGGATTCTTGTGTAGTCCGCTGCAGATTTTTTCTGACTGTACTCTGACAGAGAGACCCACACTTGAGTGCCAATCCCTGCTTCCCACGCAGAAAGCAGGGGAATTCCAACTAAGCTCACTCCTGGTAGGATCTTTATCTGCTGCATGACCTCAGAAAGAAAGCAAAGTCTACCACTGACCTCCAAAAGAGTCACTATAGGGACACTCCAGAACCTCAGCCCAATTTTCCAAAACTCTCTTCACAAAACACCTTAAGCTTTTTGAGTCTCCTTACCAAAACAACTGCTGCGATGCGGAACAAAGGTTTTACAGGCTGTGGCAATAGCCAACTCAGCAGAGATTATAGTCTTAATGATTAGGTCTTCCACATGGGCCATCAACGCTGCAAAAGAAGGGAAAGAAGTATTAAAATGTGTGGAAACTTAGACATTGGCTACGCAAAATGGGGGCGCTACAAAGGCAAGAAGTGACTGGCTTACAAGCTTTCAATAGGGAACCTAGTTTCAGAGGGTACAGAGAAAGGTAGACTCTCCACTGAGTTGTTCCCAATCAGTCTGGACAAGGCTGATAAAAGGTGATGAGGATCAGACTCTTGTGGTTCAGTATGGAATGACTGCTATCAGGACTGACTGTGTGGGAAAGAAAAAGAAAGATAGATGTTTTGTAACAAAAAGAGGGGAGTGGTTGATCTTGCAGTCCAGGAGTGGAGATCCCTGGAACCATCAAGGGAGAAAAGCGAAGTGCAGGACCCTACCCCGAGAAGCAATGATGCCAGCGATGGAGGCAGAGATGATGACATGGAGAGATGGAGCGGCTGGGGACCCTAGACTCAGGGAGGGAGAGGGGCTGTGTGCTGGTGGCTGGGGGGCAGATGTGCAGGGTGTACTCTTTGGTTGTTTGATGATGCATACAGGGGATTGTAATCATTGCAATGAAACAAAATACGATAGGATGAATGTAAAAATAATGTTCTTCCATGTAAACTATCATATAATTAATAATAAAAACTTAAAAAAAAATGTGTGGAGTCAGAGGACTGGGTTTCAGAACATAATCAAGGCCTAAAATTATGTGTGATTAGTCAAAACAGTCTCAAGTGAGTCTTCTCAATGGTGCCCCAGGGGCAGGCATGTCTGAATAGACAGGCACAGTCAAGAACTCAGTGGCTTGGAGATGCACTCAGGTGGCCTCCTATCACCAAAGACAGACACCAAATGGAAAAGGAGGCTGACTTCCCTTCACACTCTTTCCTTATCAGCCTGTCCCCTGTGCACAGAGACAATGAACACTTCCCATTCTGCTCACAACTCAGCAGCCAGGTCCCTTTGACTTCCTGGCCATTTACTTACAAACCCCACTGTGCTCGTTTCTCCAGCCCAGCAACATGACTGAGAGAGAACAGCTTAGAAAAACACCAACTCAGAATCAACAGGGAGACAGATCATTCCTGACATCAAAAGTGGACACAGTATTTTAGTCAGCAAGACCACATTCAACAAGGATACATTCACTAAGGATTAAAGGGAAAACTTATGCTTTCCACAGCAGAAACAAAATGAGTCTCCGGGGTCATGGAAAACTGGTTTCCCTTCTTGGGAATAGCTGAAAAAAAATAATAGCTAGAACATCTCAGCATCCCTACCAGGGTAAGAGAGACGACCCCCAAAAGAGACAATGGTAATGGGAAGTGAAAAATGTAAAGGCCTGATACTCACCAGTTGTATCTCTACCTTCTTGTTTCAGGTACCTGAGCATAGCACTCATACTCCATTTGTTCCCATAATCCTCCACTTCAGGATCATCACAACTAAAACAAATTAATGGGTCAAGGTCACATACAGCACTACTAGGTCTGGCTTTAGAAACAACATTCTTTACAAATAGCCTTCTTGTCCTTTTAACTATTTACAAAATATCCACTTGTCTGATTGCTTACTCACTCACTTTCTTTGTGGTCCTCTTTGTCATGTATCCCTCACACTAATTTCTTCAATGGAAATGAAAACACACAGTCTGCATTACTGAGGGGGACACGGGGGAAGGGGCAAATTCTTCCTTAACCAAACAGTTATGCATCTTGAACGAGTGGGGGAAGCAAGTGAAAAAGAATGTACACAGATTTATAAGGATTACAATAAATTAACAGGTTGAAATGTTTGGAGGTACACACTTAGTCTTAGAGGTCAATGCCACATGAGCCCACACATCTCTGATGCCAATGAGCTAAGATAATTCATTGTCGCATTTTAATGAGCTAACCCAGCATGGAATTGCTTTAGTATCTGAAGCAAGTTTCTTCTTCTCTGGAGCTTGTTGTTGTTAATGCTGTTGAGTTGGTTTGGACTCATAGCAACCTTATATGGTTTCCAAGGAGTGGCTGGTAGAATTGAACTGTTAACTCAGTGTTTCAAACCAAACATGCAGCTCAACACATTAACCCACAGCGCCACACCAATAGACAAGACTTTTTCTGATACCTTCTGAGGTATCACTGAAGAAGCGTTTGAACTGCTGTCAGATACACAGTGGACTGCTAGCCCGTCGCTCCGTGAGCAGATGAAACTTTTTACCCCTGAAAAGATCTGCAGGCTCAGAAACCCTAGCCAAGGTCGCCACGAGTCAGAATGGACTTGATGGCAGTGAGAGTGCGTGACATGAGAGAGGTCCCAGTGAAGGGACAAACACAGGAGAGCAACCATCCAAGCAGAAGAGCACTGCTGCTATAGCGGCAGAATGGCCAAGGAGGTGGACACCCACCAACGCTGCTGAGTCTTGGAGGCTTCAACTCACGCTTAGCAGCTACACCTCACCCCCCTAATCCCCTTGCCCCACCAATTCCACCTCTGCTCATCTTCCAAAGTGAAGGCCTTTCCCTTCAACCAGTGGTCACAGGATACTCAGTGAGATCTAAACAGCCTCGGCAACTATTTCATCACTTTTGGATCCCTTTCTTTCTTTCTTTACTTGGACAAGCTAGGTACCTATGTTTAATCATAACTGTTTGGGTTTATTTTTTACTTTTCCACTTTCCGGCAAAATTGTTGGGATGAAAGAAAGCAGAGAAAAACAAAAACAAAAACAAAAAAACATTTCCACACAGTCAGGCTGGTACACCCTCTTCCAATGAATCCTTTGATGAAATGGGCTTGTTTCTTTAATTTTTCCCTTTTTTTTTTTTTTTTGGCTGACCATACAAGTGTTTATTTTAGAAAGTTTAGAAAAAACATAGAGGAGAAAATATCACTCACTCATAATGTTACCTACTATCATAAAGTACCAGCAATGGTGGTGGATGTCCTTTATTCACTCTCAGCAGAAATAAAGTGTTAGGTATCTTAAGAGCAGGCATCAAAAAGTTCATGGAAAAATGGAATGAAAAGATAATGAAATAGTTCCATGAACTTTTTGAAGCCCCCTCATATAAGGAGCCCTGATGGCACAATGGTTAAGCATTTGGCTGCTAACCAAAAGTTTGGTAGTTCAAACCTACCCAGTAGCTCCACGGGAAAAAGACCTGGCCTAGAAAACCTTCTGGGACCGTTCTACTCTGTCATCTGGTTGCAATGTGTCAAAAATCAATCTGACGGCACCTAACTGCAACAGGGACTCCTGGTAGGGTGCTGTAGGATTAGCACTGGATTGTGAACCACAGGTCAACAAGTTCAAACCCACCAGCTGCTCCTCAGAAACCCTATACAGGGTCGTTATGAGTAGGAATCAACTCAATGACACTTAACAACAACCATCTTCCGGAGTCCTGGTGTGGTGCTGTGGGCTAACGCACTGGACTGCAACGTCAGTCTTAATCACAAGGCCGGCGGTTCAAGCTCACCAGTTGCTCCTTGGAAAACCTATGCAGGGTCGCTATGGGTCAGAACAGATAAATTATATATTCAAACAAAAAATATCGTTGCATGTGTTGTTTGGTAACCAGCTCTTTCCACATAACCATGTGCAGTATTATGCAGTTCAATTACCTCCGAGACTGTGCATACATCCTTCATTATTTTTTAAGGCTAAATGTCTAGATGTGTGAAAGGGTGTAAAAATTTGCCAAGTGCAAAAATGACCTCATGTCTTGACTTCTAAAAAGTTCTATGTAGTTTGTTTTTGTTTAGTGCCATCGAGTTGGTCTGACTCTGTAAGGGGTGTTTCCAAAGAACAACTGGTGGATTTGAACCACTGATCATGTAGTACAAACTGACCTTACGGTCCAGTTCTTCATATGCCATTAAATTTCTACCTCCAAGTCAAGTAAAGAGCTCGGATGTGCAGTGGTTAAAGTGCTCAGTTGCCAACTGAAAGGTTAGTGGTTGGAATCCACCAGCAGCCCACAGACGACGTGGCTGTTTGCTCCCATAAAGACTGCACCCTTGGAAGTGCTGGGGGCAGCAGTTCTACTTTGTCCTAAAGGGTCACTATGAGTTAGAAATGACTCGATGGCAACTGACTTTGGTTTTGGAGGTTCAGAGAAGACATTGAAGATGACAAAACTTGTGAAGGCCAATTTTGGTCGAGACAGGCAACACTGCCATTGGGCAGGCGTGAAGGAGCAGCAGCAGGTAGGCCTCAATGCAACACTGAAGGAATGAACAGCTTTTCATCAGTTACTTGAGGTCCAAGTAACTTTCTACCTCGACAACACCGGCATCGGAGATGGACTTTTCTGGCTCCTGGCGCAGACAGAACCCGTACCTGACATAATCTCCACTCTTCTTATTCACACTGTAGTTGGTCAGGTGCATGAACTGGTTCCGAATGTTCTTGGCTCCTTGATCGTACCGTACAGTTGCAAACCTGACAGAAAGGACAGAGGTTAAGTGACTGGAGAGAATGAGGATCCATGAGACGACAGCAAAGGGACGGAGGGTGGCATCATTACCTAACAAATGCTAGGCACTCAGAGAGCCTACAAAGCGCCAACCGCCATGCTAAGCATTTTGTATGTAGAACATCACATATAAGGAGCTCTGTTAGCACAGTGGTTACGAGTCCAGCTATTAACCTCAAGGTCAATAATTCTAAACTACCAGCTGTTCCATGGGAGAAACACAAGGCTTTCTGCTCCCATAAAGATTTACAGCCTCAGAAACCCTGTACAGGGTTGCTATGACTCAGAACCGACTCCATGGCACATAGCCCCCACCACCAATGTCACATTTAATTCAATCCTTAATACAACTCTATGAGGTAGGCAAAATTACATCTGATTTTCAAAACCGGTATAAAAATGAAAAATGTGATCTTGAGAGATTAAGTAACTTGCCCCAAATCACACAGACTCCAAAATCCATTTTCCTAACTACTTTGTGAGATGCTGTTTCTCTTATATAAAAACCTTAGACCAATAGAAAGAACCAACAGTGCATATAATGTTATTCACAACCTTGGAAATTGTGTGTAGAATGGTGCGAGTGAAGGGGATCAGCTGTTTAATAAATACATGTTGAATGTGATAAGAAATATTGTGGAAGAAGAATAAAAGAATAGCATAGTAGTATATAGCTCAGACTTTACAAAACCAACAGAACTGATCAGTAATACAATTGTATTATAATATACTCTCATCCTTTCAGAAATGAAAACAGCTGAAAAGACTCGGTCTGCAGAAGAGCATAAACTTGGGCAAAGTGCAGAAGACTAATCCCCAAATTTGGAAGGAAGGCAAAGATAGGAAATAAATAAACATGGAGCCCACTGAAAACAGGGTAGCAATTTGATATTCTGGACTATTGTCCAAAGACCATAAAAATATCTATGCCTCTGAGATTCCTCTGAACGAAGTAACCAAAGGCAGAAAAAACTTTCCAGTGATCCTCAGCATCAACAAAAGGTCATTCCAGTCGAATGGTTATGGTAAGTATCTACCCGTGTTTACATACCACTATAACCATAACACCCTTCACAAAAGTGGTTTTCCCAAGAGGCACCAGCCAAGTGTGTGAAAAAAACACTGGAAGGCCACAAGTTTATTTTCATATGATTTACAAATTATTTACATATGCTTATCCAGACTATGAAGTCAACAGGGTTTTGAACCACATTAAAAGGCCAGTATTCAGCAATGCTCCTCTTCTGTTTCTTCTCACCCACCCACTAGCTCTGCTCCCTAATTCCCTGTACCAATATTACACAAGAGTCGAAGAAAGAAACTGGGATAAAGAAGAAAAAAGAAAGAAAGAAAAAAAAATTAAAACAAACAGGAAGCCAAGAAAAGGGATGTGGAGGGAGAGAGAATGATGACCAGGCATAACTGGTTAAGAATAAGAAGCTGATGAGCATTACATGCTGGTGTGGTGCTGTAGAATACACACACACTGTAAGGTCGGTTTAAACCATAGGGTTGGTGGTTCAAACTCAACAGCTGTTCCTTGGAAACCCTATACAGGGTCACTGTGAGTCAGAACCACCTGGATGGCACTTAACAACAACGCCTCTTTCCAGGAATCACCATCTACCTTCTCACCATGTCATTCCTGTTGAGTACACCTTACCTATATAGATGCCAATCTTCCTCTGAATGAGGCTCTCCAAGCAAGTCAATGATAGACATCCTCTGAATTCTACTGAAATGCATAGTGGGTGCATGCTGGCCCCACAGAGGTTGCCTGCCATACCAAGACACTACCTCACCCAGTGACATACCTCCTGACATCCTATCCCCAAAAAGAATTAAGAGTTAGAGAGAGAGAGAAGGTTCAGAGAAAACAGCTTTGCATGTCTCCTAAATGCAAATCCTCGAGTCCTTTGGTCAACATGAAAGGACTGCAAGAGCCTGGTAGTTCACTGGTGGCCAACACATCTGGCATTCTTACACTCTTTGTTTTCAAGAAGACTGTATATCTACTAAGTAGGTTTTCCTCTTCCTAATATTCCTTTTACTTGAGACACTTATATCCTGAACCCCAGAAGTGACAAGCCTGTTAATTTAACAATAGGCTTCTATACCAGTGTAAGAAGCACAAAGAAGTAAAAAATTCAAGAATAAAAACAAACTAATCTCAATGGTGTTGCATTCATTGTCAAAAAGAACATATCCAGATCAGTCATGACGTACAACGCTGTCTGTGATAGGATAATATCCATGCGCCTACATGAATAATATCACTATTATTCAAATTTACGCACCAACCACTAAAGCCAGTGAGGATGAAATAGAAGAATTCTACCAACTTCTTCAATCTGAAATTGATCAAATATGCAATCAAGATGTATTGTTCATTACTGGTGATTGGAATGCAAAGGTTGGGAGCAACAAGGAAGGATCACTAGTTGGAAAATATGGCCTTGGTGATAGAAATGATACAGGAGAACGCATGATAGAATTCTGCAAAACCAACGATTTGTTCATTTCAAATACCTTCTTTAGACAGCATAAGAGACATGGACCTCATAGAAATCAAATTGACTACATCTGCGGTAAGAGACAATGAAACAAGCTCCATATCATCAGTCAAAACAAGGCCAGGGGCACATTGTGAAACAGACCATCAATTACTCATAAGACAATTCAAACTGAAGGTGAAGAAAATGAAAACAAGTCCATTAGAGCCAAAATATGAATATATTTTGAATATATCCCACCTGAATTTAGAGGTCATCTGAAAAAAGCAAAAAGTCATTGAGAAGACAAGAAAGAAGGAAAAGGTCAAAATGGATATCAGAAGAGACACTGAAATTTGCTCTGCAGCATAGAGATGCTAAAGCAAATGGAAGAAATGAGGAGGTCCAAGAACTGAATAGAAAATTTCAAAGATCAACTCAAAAAGATAAATCCAAATATTACAACAAAGTATGCAAATATCTGGAATCAGAAAACCAAAAAGGAAGAACAC